ACAGAGAGAAGGGCACGGATACAACAAGAAACCGTCTGCCATTGTTGTTATCGAGCTTCATAAGCTCAACATACAGAGCTAAGTTCACACATACTAAACTCAAACCCTTCTTTATTTATCCCTTTTTATTTTTTCTTTTTTTTCAATTTACAGAGCGGTTTGCTGTATATAAATGGCATCATCTTTGATTTCAACACCATTTACATTACCCACAACCAAATCCGATCAATTATCTTCAATCTCTCAAAAACACTACTTTCTCCACTCATTTCTACCAAAAAAATCTTCATCGCATTTACCCAATTCAAGAACACCACACAGTTTGGGTGTGAAATGTGCTGTTGTCGGGAACGGCCTTTTCACCCAAACGACACAGGAAGTCCGTCGGATCGTACCTGAAAACAAGCAAGGCCTCCCGACTGTTAAAATCGTGTATGTGGTGTTGGAAGCCCAGTACCAGTCGTCACTTTCAGCTGCAGTCAGGACTCTGAACAGCAGCAACAAGTTTGCTTCGTATGAGGTGGTGGGTTACCTGGTGGAAGAGCTTAGAGACGAAAATAACTACAAGAGCTTCTGTTTAGACCTTGAAGATGCAAACATCTTCATCGGGTCGTTGATTTTTGTGGAGGAATTGGCGTTGAAAGTGAAGGATGCGGTGGAGAAACAGAGGGACAGGATGGATGCGGTGCTGGTGTTCCCTTCGATGCCTGAGGTTATGAGGCTGAACAAATTGGGATCGTTCAGTATGTCTCAACTGGGGCAATCAAAAAGCCCCTTCTTCCAGCTTTTTAAGAACAAGAAGAAGTCATCGGCGGGGTTTTCTGATCAGATGCTGAAGCTGGTGAGGACGTTGCCAAAGGTGTTGAAGTATCTGCCGAGTGATAAAGCTCAGGATGCGAGGCTTTATATCCTGAGTCTGCAGTTTTGGCTTGGTGGGTCCCCTGATAATTTGGTGAATTTTGTGAAGATGATTTCGGGGTCTTACGTTCCGGCTTTGAAAGGGATGAAGATTGGGTATTCGGATCCGGTAATGTTCTTGGACAGCGGAATCTGGCATCCATTGGCTCCATGTATGTATGAAGACGTGAAGGAGTATTTGAATTGGTATGATACAAGAAGGGATACAAATGAGAAGCTAAAGAACCCGAATGCTCCTGTCGTTGGATTGGTTTTGCAGAGGAGTCATATCGTGACAGGAGACGACAGCCATTATGTGGCTGTCATCATGGAACTGGAGGCAAAAGGTGCAAAGGTGATTCCTCTTTTCGCGGGTGGGCTTGACTTCTCGGGTCCCATCGAGAAGTATCTGATCGACCCGATCACAAAGAAGCCGTTTGTGAATTCGGTGGTGTCGCTGACTGGGTTTGCATTGGTGGGAGGGCCCGCAAAGCAAGATCATCCAAGGGCCATCGAGGTGCTGATGAAGCTGGATGTGCCGTACATCGTGGCGTTGCCTCTTGTGTTCCAGACGACTGAGGAATGGCTGAACAGCACTTTGGGTCTTCACCCGATTCAGGTGGCTTTGCAGGTTGCTCTTCCAGAACTTGACGGAGGAATGGAGCCGATTGTTTTCTCAGGACGAGACCCACGAACCGGTAAATCCCATGCCCTTCACAAGAGGGTGGAGCAGCTCTGCACCAGAGCAGTCAGATGGGCAGAACTGAAGAGGAAAACAAAGGTTCCTACTTACTTTTTTTTTCTCTCTCTCTCTCTCTCTCATCACATATGCCTTGTGGTGCTTTTCTTTTAATAATAAACAGAGAAGTATGAATGAAGTTAAAAAAAAAAAAAAAAAAAAAAAAACTTAATTTTGATGTAAAACTTGAATGCAGACTGAGAAGAGGGTGGCCATCACGGTGTTCAGTTTCCCACCAGACAAAGGCAATGTGGGATCCGCTGCATACCTGAATGTGTTTGCGTCCATTTTCTCTGTGCTTCAAGACCTGAAAAAAGATGGTTACAATGTGGAAGGCCTTCCAGAGACTTCTCAAGAGTTGATTGAAGAGATTCTTCACGACAAAGAGGCTCAGTTCAGCAGTCCAAATCTGAATGTTGCATACAAAATGGGAGTGAGAGAGTATCAGCAGCTGACTCCGTATGCCACTGCCTTGGAGGAGAACTGGGGAAAGCCTCCAGGGAACTTGAATTCTGATGGGGAGAATCTCTTGGTTTATGGGAAAGCATACGGAAACATATTCATCGGAGTCCAGCCCACTTTTGGGTACGAGGGTGATCCCATGAGGCTGCTTTTCTCAAAATCAGCAAGCCCACATCACGGATTTGCAGCTTATTACACTTATGTTGAGAAGATCTTCAAAGCCGATGCTGTTCTTCATTTTGGAACCCACGGATCCCTAGAATTCATGCCTGGGAAGCAGGTCGGGATGAGTGATGCTTGTTTTCCCGACAGTCTTATAGGGAACATCCCGAATGTCTACTATTATGCAGCTAACAATCCTTCAGAAGCCACCATTGCCAAGAGAAGAAGCTACGCCAACACCATAAGCTACCTGACTCCACCTGCTGAGAATGCTGGTCTTTACAAGGGTCTGAAGCAGCTGAGCGAGTTGATTGCATCGTATCAGTCTCTCAAAGACACGGGCCGTGGTCAGCAGATCGTGAGCTCCATCATCAGTACAGCCAAGCAATGCAATCTTGATAAAGATGTGGATCTTCCTGAAGAAGGTGTGGAGATTTCAAGCAAAGAACGCGATCTTGTTGTTGGAAAGGTGTACTCCAAGATCATGGAGATCGAGTCGAGGCTGCTACCATGTGGGCTTCATGTGATCGGTGAGCCTCCGACAGCCATGGAGGCTGTTGCCACTCTGGTCAACATTGCCGCCTTGGACCGACCGGAAGAAGGGATCTCCTCTCTTCCATCGATACTGGCGGAGACGGTTGGTAGAGAGATAGAAGATATTTACAGAAGCAGTGATAAAGGAATCTTGAAAGATGTGGAGCTGTTGAAGCAGATCACAGAGGTGTCTCGTGGGGCCGTTGATGCTTTTGTGCAGCGGAGCACCAACAGCAAGGGTCAGGTGGTTGATGTGTCTGGTAAATTAAGTACATTCCTTGGGTTTGGTCTGAATGAGCCTTGGATTCAGTATTTGTCTGAAACCAAGTTCTACAGAGCCGACAGGGACAAGCTGAGGGTTCTGTTCCAGTTCTTGGGCGATTGTTTGAAGCTCATTGTGGCTGACAACGAGTTGGGCAGCTTGAAACAGGCTTTGGAAGGAAAGTATGTGGAGCCGGGTCCAGGAGGCGACCCGATCCGGAACCCGAAAGTGCTGCCCACGGGAAAGAACATTCATGCGTTGGACCCACAAGCAATCCCGACAACAGCAGCCATGCAGAGTGCAATGGTGGTGGTGGACAGGCTGCTGGAGAGGCAGAAGGCGGACAACGGAGGAAAGTATCCGGAGACGGTTGCATTGGTGTTGTGGGGGACGGACAACATCAAGACTTACGGGGAGTCTCTCGGTCAGGTGCTATGGATGATCGGTTGTAGGCCGGTTGCAGACTCACTGGGACGAGTCAACCGGGTTGAGCCTGTGAGTCTTGAAGAGCTCGGAAGGCCAAGAATCGATGTCGTTGTCAACTGCTCGGGAGTCTTCAGGGATCTGTTCATCAACCAGGTACCAAATCGATTTCTTTGTCAAATGCTTTTTTTCATTTTCCAGGTGTCTCTTGATTAACACTATATATATGTTATGTATGTTGTTACAGATGAACCTGCTGGACAGGGCAGTGAAGATGGTGGCTGAGCTGGATGAGCCGCTGGACCAAAACTATGTTCGGAAACACGCACTGGAACAAGCGGAGGCTCTTGGGGTGGATGTGAGAGAAGCTGCAACTCGAATCTTCTCAAATGCATCCGGATCCTACTCATCAAATGTAAATCTTGCAGTTGAGAACTCATCATGGAACGATGAGAAGCAGCTTCAAGACATGTATTTGAGCAGAAAGTCGTTTGCATTTGACAGCGACACTCCTGGTGCTGGAATGGAAGAGAAACGACAAGTGTTTGAGATGGCGTTGAGTACGGCCGAAGCAACATTCCAAAACCTGGATTCGTCTGAGATCTCTCTGACAGATGTCAGTCATTACTTTGACTCCGACCCCACCAACCTTGTTGGGAGCCTACGGAAGGACGGGAAGAAACCAAACGCGTACATTGCAGACACCACCACGGCTAACGCTCAGGTGCGGACCCTCTCGGAGACGGTCCGTTTGGACGCAAGGACAAAGCTGTTGAACCCGAAATGGTACGAAGGGATGCTGTCGAGTGGTTATGAGGGTGTCCGTGAGATTGAGAAGCGGCTCACAAACACGGTGGGGTGGAGTGCAACTTCAGGGCAGGTGGATAACTGGGTGTATGAAGAGGCCAACACCACCTTCATTCAAGATGAGGAGATGTTGAACAGGCTCATGAACACAAACCCCAACTCCTTCAGGAAGTTGGTGCAGACCTTCTTGGAGGCCAATGGGAGAGGCTACTGGGACACTACGGAGGATAATATTGAGAAGTTAAAGCAGTTGTACTCAGAGGTTGAAGATAAGATTGAGGGTGTCGATCGGTAATTTATAGTTATGTGATGTTTATAACCTTGTCATTTGTTTCCTTTTCCCCAAAACTGTAAACATTTTGATCGTTAATGGGGACTACTCTCATTGTATGTTAAGATTCTAATTTACAAAAAGTTTAATGTAAATTCAATAAGTTTCACATTGCGAAACAACAGATAGAGTGAAGGTGCCATCATAATCTATCGTATATGACTGAGTAATACCATTTGCCTTAGAAATTGATAGTGCTTCTGTTTGCTTTGTGTTTGAGTAAGAACACCCATGGAAGCAAAAATGAAACAAGTGCAGACAGAGAGAGTCAGGCATCAGACGTGATAACTTCAATTTATCAAATCACAAACAAAGTTGTAGAATCATTGAAGCAGTTTCTAACATTACATTACCATACTTAAAAAAAAAAAAAAAAAAAGAATGTCATTGCTGTGGTCATTTTATGCCAACAAATACCCTCAGCCCATGGCACAAGACTCTTGAACTCTGTCACTGGGAATCTTGATATGTCAAATACTGGCTCACTGTTTACAATTCAACATGTTTCTTGAAAATTAAACTTTTAATTAGGTCAAAAGGAGAAAAAAAATCAGCTCATGTGTTTCTGTTTCTCTCCTTTACTTTAGCATGATCCAGCATGCAAAATCCATAGAATTTTCATGACACAGGAGTTCATGAATTGTGATATATCAATAGAGAGATTGAACATTATGTCAATAGATACTAATGGACATGACAATACAAATATAATCACCCGAACAGTTAATTTCTCAACTTATCTTTTTCTCATCATCTTTACGTGTTTTCAACAACTTGGGCCTTGGCTTTAAGGGTTTTAAGAAGGAAGCCTGAAAACTGACCATTGTTCTCAAAACACTAATCAACTTAGACTCAATATCTACCCCATTTGGTTCAAGAACTCGTAAACACCGTGCAACCGCCTCCATTGTACTCATGCAACCACCAAAAGGTTCCTTCCTGAGTATTAACTCAGAGTTGTATATTGTTCCGCCATCAACATTAGCATCATAACTCAAACATACCTGAGTTGCAAACTTTGACAAAAATGGAAAGCTAGAGCATACCATCTCCTTTGCGTGCTTCCATGTCCCATCAAAAGCAATCAGAACAAATTTGTTTGAATCATCATCCCCAAATGAAGACTTCCACTGGTTAATCTCCATTGAAGGAGTGAGGTCCGTACCTATAAAGTGAAACAGGTCAGCACTCAGCAGTCTGTACCTGTAAAACAATGCAGGACAAGACTACATTCACTTGAATTCCAGAAGCCCTCATTAGGTGTCCTGCATTTGATTACCATGAACTATCTAATGGAATTGAGTTTTATTGTTTATCAATTTTCAACATTGGAGTGTGTTTTGTCGAATCAAAGTAATCCGCAATGAAAAGGTTGAATTCCTCATTGTTGGTGATCCGTGACTGAGTATCATACCCAGACAAATTCATTTCCAGAGCATCTTTTTCATGAATTATATTAACAAGAATACCATTAGCAGAATATAAACAAGTATCTAGCAAAGTTAGAATCATACCAGGAAAGAGAAAAGCCGCATGTAGACATTGGTTAGGGTTTTCTTCGGTGGCAGCATCATGGAGAGAGTCAAGAAGAGCCGACCCACCCCGTCGTAATCGACGGCCAATTAGGGTTTGGCAGCTGCGGAGGCATTTGCTAAGCACCGGCACTGTAGCGAGTGGGTGGCGCTGTTCGTGTGGATGCTGCAGGATTATGATTTGCGTGCTCGTGGAGAATGGTTCGGCCGGAATTGAGTCACATAGACACACGGTCGCCGGCCTTTCGCAGACATTGCAGATTCTCCGCCGTGCGTTTGGGTGGTTGAATTGGTTGTCGTCGTCCATAAAATCCGACATCATAAGGTCAAAAGCATGGACTCCAAATATTTGTTATGCGAAGAAATAGTTGCAAGGTCTAATTGCTCCAATTTTCTAAGTTTACCTATTATACACCATTTTATAATTCCAAATCAAAAGAGTATACTTCATAAAAGTTCCATCGTAACAGAAATTTATACTATATACACAACAAACAAGTTCTACACCAAACTATACAATTATACATGAACATAATCACATTATTTTTTGTAATTCATACATGGTTTTAAGTACATAACATTCTTCGTATTAATCCTTTAATGATAACTTAGATATAATCTTGGGTGATATTCAAAAAGGTACTGAATCTATCTTCTTCTACCAACTTTACTTTGACACACGTGAGATGGGTCCATAGCAACGAAATTTCTTCATCACAAACAACTTCCAGAGGGCATAAACCCTTGACTGACAATGGCAGCTCACGCAGCCCTGTGCATCCTCTCATATGAATCATTCGCAGACTACTCAATTCACCTATTTCCCCTGGCAACTCTAGCAGATTTAAACAGTCTGTCAGATCAATCACGCTTAACTTCTGCATGTTTCTAATCCATTTGGGTAACGTTGCAAGATTTGAGCATGACGCAAGCCGCAAAACTTCCAAATTTGATAAGTTTTTTCCAAATTCTTCAGAAAGCGAACTCAATTCGAGGCAATTAGTAATGTTGAGTTTTCTAAGATTGACTAGATTGCATAACATGGTGGGAAATGTGATTAAATCATCACAAGAGTCGATGTCGATCTCCAAAAGGCTTTGTAATTTGTTGGGTGTGTATTCGGTGAAACTGTTCCCGATTTTGCACATGATCAAGGATAGCTTCTGCAAGTGTGGTAACTCCAGAATTGATGTACTGATTGAAGATATTGAAACGTGTTCTAATCTAATGGTGGTTAGACCAGATAAATATTGTGGTGAGGGAAAGTTTTGAAGCTCTGAGAAGTGATAGCCGTAGTTTGTGAAAATTATAATCTTTAAGCTCTCCATGCTTTGCATAAACTGTGGCAAGGGATATGTCCTTGACATGAAGTTCAACACCAAAACTTCCACTTTGGGGGCTTGAATGTCATTCCATTTCAAAGAGAATCTTTCATCTGTTATCAAGCATGGATAGTAGGATTAAAAGAAGGGTTAAATGCAGGAAAAGGCAATGTACTTTCTTGGACTGTTTATCGTGACATCTTACTTTCATGGTATTAAGAAAAATCTACACAAATTATAATTGAATACAAAACAATTGGTAACATTTTATAAATGTAAAGTCTGGATAAGAAAAATATTGAAAGTACAATGCTACAATTAGATAGATTTTTCAAAGTAAAATGCCTTGATAAGAAAAAAAATGAAAGTACACTGCAGTGATAAGTAATAGAAAGCAATGAAAGTAGGATCTTATAGTTCACAAATAAATGAAAGCATGTTGCTATTTCTTACGATTACAGTTAAATGTAAGAAAATAGCATTGTACTTCTATTGACTTGTTTATTAAAGCATCCTAATTTCTTTCTTGCCGATAAAACAATTTTTTTGAGAAATTTACCCAATTACAACATTGTCATCCGAAGACAACAATTTTCGTTACTATAATTGGGTGGATAACGTCCAAATAAGAAATATAGTGAAAGTAAAATGTTGTGACTGGGTGGATTTTTCAAAGTGCAATGCTTTAATAAGAAAAAAAAATGGAAGTACAATGTCGTAAGAAAGTAGGTTGCTTTAATACAAAACTAAATGCAAGGACGTTGTTATTTCTTGCATTTGGCCCTTAGAAGAATTGAGGAATAGACCCCACGATGGGAGCCTAGTGGTTAGGGAGTGGAATTCCACACAAATATTGCTAGAGTTCCGTGATTGACCTCTCACATGAGCTGCTCAAATGATGCAGTTTACCATTTTTTTTAAAACACATTTATGAATAGATACCTACTTTTAAAATTGGGGAAACAAACCTGTGGAAATGGAGAATAGACGGGCATCGATAGTCTTTGGCAATTTGGGAAGGTCTTGTCCATTTGCATGTATGATTAATCTCTTTCTATGCTCTATTGGTTCTTGGTTGCTTAAACGAATAGCTAGCGTTCTCATCAAATCGTGTTGCACAAGAGCTTTGTCCTCACAATAGTTGCTAATCACAGGCGAATGTTTCCTGCAATCAAATAAAAAGTGTATGACCAAATGACTCTTTGTTTGTGCATAAGGGTGGTATTGAAATCAGAAGCCACTCACCTTATTGGCAACAGAGTTGCTAGGTTTTTGTAGGAAAGTTCAAAGAGGTGGTTCATTGTGGCTAATCCCTCTTCATCATCCTTGTATAGATGGACCCACATGTCCAATAGCATTGTAGCTGCTATCCTCTGATCTTCAGGAAATAACCCCAAGTCCAAGTAACATTGCTTGATTACTGATTCTTCTTTGAATACTTCTAAACTTCGTGCTAGACAAAGTGGTATAGACTCTTCCAAATCCAAAACAGTTTGCTTCCCATCAGACAGATTTTTCAACATGCCAAGCCAGCTTGTGATGTCTGCCCCCTTTAACAAACCACCAATCACACTAAGGGCCAGTGGATGTTGCTTGCAACACTTCACCAACTACACAAAGCGACGAAAAAAGGCTAAAACTATGTTATATAATGGGAAAAGAAAAGTTGATTCCATCTGAAAAAAGGTTTCGTTATACCTTGTCAACAAGATCATCTGATATATCAGCATCTTCACTTTCACATTCTGAAAATGCAGAGTGCCGAAACAGAGCAGTTGCATCTTGGTGGCTCAAAAGTTGCAAGTGATATGTGTTGAATTGTTTAAAGGTGAACCTAGATGTAGCAAGAATCTTGTATCCACGGAACTTGAACTTGAAGCGTTTGATAATGGAATCAGACCATACATCATCGAGTACTAATAGTGTTTCAGATTTATTTTCACCCAAAAAGCGCCCCCATTGGTTGATTGCGTCATCGTCATTGATAAAATCAAGCTTCTGACCTGCTTGGTTCGACTGAAGTAAATTTTGTACAACCATCTTCAAGTTGGGGGTCTCCGAGATGGTAGCAAAGTAGATGTTTCTACCAAATTTTTCTGTTCAAATGAGAATACAGTCGTAAATAATGGAAAGATTTGATAAAAAGAATGGAATAGATTTGAATACCTTGAATAGCGGGATCGTGGCAGAGCATAGTTACCAAAGTAGTCTTCCCTGAACCTCCGGCAGCGGAAACAACTACAACTGAACATTCATCACCACTAGCAGAAACTTTGAGGACCATCGCCTTCAAATCCCTAACTCGATCGTCAAATCCAATAACAACGTCTTTCAGCAATGGAGCGCGAGACGACCAACGACCTGCATCCCCTTTCATCATTCTCATTTGCATATTTTTCGCCACCAGCAGATCCAGTATACCCCTAGTATTCAGCAACTGAAGATCAATCTGACAAAATCTAAGCAACGATGCATTTAGGTCATCCAGCTTCAACGCGTGAGTATATTTCTTGTAGAAATTCCATTTGATACGCTCGCATTTCAGAACGAGGGCTTCAGCACCTTCCATTTGAGCGATGAACATCTCTTTTTCCTTTTTCGGTCGATCCAATACTTCAATTAGCTTCTCGATTTCATCGAAGATCGGCTTGTTTCTTGTTATGGTGTTTTGTAATTGAATGAGATTGGGTTTAAACTGCGAGGTTTTCTTTATTACGTGTATGATGGCATCTGATAATTTAGAAACAGCGTCCCCTAGCCCAGCTCCTACTAGGTCTGCAGGATCCATTGATGAAGAGGAAGAAGTTGAATTCTTGATGAACTTTATGATTTGAATTGTGATCGGAAAATGCCTTCCCAGCGGTGGTGTACTACAGACAGTTGAAGATGATCAATCTAGAACGCGTCAAAGAGGAAACAGGGGAGAAAATTCCCTCGTTTTAATTACATTTCGAGAAATAATCGTTGCTTTCCTACAGCAGCTAAACGACATCGTCTTCTTATCCTACATTTTAGAGACATATCTCCGACTGCTGCGACGTAGCACATGCAAAATTTTGGAACATAGACGGCGCGGATGAAGCGACGGCGGCTTAGGTTTGCTTGAGACGGACGCTGACAGCCACAACATTACGATATCATATATTTTTAATTTGTTATATAAATAATATTTGGTAGTCGGTTTATGACGAGTTGCATACTTGCATATTTCCTTTCTATAATTGTATTGCGATATAAAAGGTTATCATTCAACAGATATTTCTTATTCTGTGTTGTTTATGTTGGATTAAATCTCGTTAGTACTTGGTAGTGGCCTATAGACTAATTATGTAATAAATTACATACATAGGGCATAATTATGTTGTATACCATAACTTTGTCATAATAACAAAAATAGGTCTTTTTACTTACTAAATTGGTAGTATGATAGATACAAACTCAAGGGACAACCAAACTTGTGTGGTGTCTATTCTTAACCATAAGATGTAAATGATCATAAATATATATATGTACTTATTGTTTCATTTGGAGGATACGGGATCTCATTCTACAAGCACTCACATCGGTGTGGCCATGTAATAAAAGCCAAGTCATCAATTTCTTGCATCTGCTGTGAGCCTTGCAAAATGTTGGTGGTGGGCCATCTAACATAATATATATATATATATATATATATATATATATATATATATATATATATATATATATATATATATATATATATATATATAAGGCTTCATAACTTTCTTTGACATCTACTATATGTACACTTTGTAACACCCTGTTCCGAATTGACTCCTAGTCTGAGGTTGTGGCCCGAAGGTCGGTCATTATAAGGATTATGGTTTTTGAGAAGGTAAGATCTAGGCCCATTTGGGTGCGGGTAATGTATTAGAAGTGATTCGGGTGTTTGGTTCGTGTTTTGAAGCCTAGGGGTATTTCAATAAAATGACAGTTCGGGCTCTTGTGGAAAATAGATTCTTGTTTGGAAGGTCTTAAGAAAGGTATGAGTTACTAGAAGTGTAGGGCTTCTCGTTACCTTTGCGTGGATATAAGGATCGCTGGAATCGGGCTTAGAACGAAGAAGTTATGGCCTTCAGAAGTTTCGTGGTTTTCAGGCTTAGCCGAGTACACGGGGAGTACACAATGAGTACGCGGGGTGTATTAGTGAAGAAGGCAGTACGCGGGGCGTACCTTGGAGTATGTTGGGCGTACTGACCAGGATGGTCGCGAATGTTCTTCGGAGTATGATAGGCGTACAATAATTACGTCGGGCGTACGCCAGTCAGATCAGAACCTTATTTTAGGGTCATAGACCCTATTTAAGCTCCTTATCTCATAACCTAACCCTAATATCTTCAGCCCCTACCCTCTAAAACCCTAGAAATCTTCATATATCATTCATGGTGACATTTTGAGCTTATGGAGTTCATTTTTGGGATGTTTGACCCGTTTTCAAGAAAATGGAGCTTGTTGCAAAGATAGGAAACAACGAGGAGCTTATAGATCTGACTTTTGGGACTCATTCTCAGCTTGATGAAGGTATAAAGATTTGAACTTGATCATTCATCTCTTAGATTTACCATTTGTGAGTTTTTGTTCATTTTGGTCCCAAGTATGAGATCTAGTGGTCTTGATTTCATTCCAGGAGCTTTGATGTAACATCTGGTTCCTTGTACGTATTTTAAATAAGAATTTTTGCACTTTTACTCTGGGACTAGACGTGTCAGAAGCCCCAACTCATCGAGTGGAGGCTTAATTTGGATGCGGGTGGAAGAATCTACTCAATGAGTCGGAAGCCCCGACTTGATGAGTAGACATGTCTGGATGAAACCCTAAATTTCAGGGTTTGCACCCTATTTAAGAAAGGTATGAGTTACTAGGAGTGTAGGGCTTCTCGTTACCTTTCCGTGGATATAAGGATCGTTGGAATCGGGCCAAGCAAGCAGAGTGTTGACAACAGTTTGCAATGTGATTGGCCGTAGAGAAACTTCGAGGATGAAGTTTAGTTTAAGTGGGGGAGAGTTGTAACACCCCAAAATCATAAAGTCCAAAAAAAGGGAAGAAAACCCTAAGTCAAAGGGTCAACTCGTCGAGTCCATGGAGGAACTCGACGAGTCCGAGTGGGATCCGGATCGAGGAGTAAGTGACCGACTTGGCGAGTCGGAGAATGGACTCGGCGAGTCCGGTCTGAAGAGAGAAACCCTAATCCCAGGGGTTGTACTCTATTTAAGGGATGATATGTCCCTTCCTCAGCCTCTATATCATCCTAGAGAACCTGTAAATCCTAGATTTCATGGGAGCTTCCATCATTTGGGAGAAAATAGCTTTGGAGGAGGGAATCTTTGAAAGGAACAAGAAGATCAAGAGGGTTGCTTCAAAGGAGAGGTGTAGATCCGAGAACTATTTCAATTTGTGCTCATCTTGGAGGTAAAAGTTGTTATCTTTCCTCCTTTGCATCTAGATCTATCTTGGTTATGAGTTTTGGGGCTTTTATGCCACGTCCTTGAATCATTTCGAGTTGGAGCCCAAATCTGAAGTTGCTACTTCAGATCTAAGTGTATTTTGGCCTAGAAAGTCATAAAGCATCAGTATTTGGGTTGGTTGTTAAGCCTCTTTGTCTTAAACCCTAGTTTGTAGTGTTTTGAGCCTTGATCTCCTTAGTTATATGTAAAGTTTGCAACTTTACATGGGGAATGGACTTTGGAAGTATGGATCTATGATTTGGAGCCCCTACATGGCTCGAAAAGCCATTCGGCGAGTCACATGGGTGGACTCGGCGAGTTGGATGAAGTTGGGCAGGAACTCGGTGAGTTGGAAGAACAACTCGGCGAGTCTGTTGAAGATTGCCTTGGACTCGGCGAGTCAAGTCGCAAAACCCCAAACCCTTCGAGTTAAGACTCGGATCAGTGAGTTGAGTAGGGACCCAGTGTGAAACACCCCAAAATAAGACCCAAAAATTTTTGTTTAACAATTACTAAAAATACTAAGATAATATCATAAAATAAAACTCATACGTCAATATCTCAAAACAATAGCAAAGTGTTATGTAGACTGTGTCAAACTGTATCAAATCACATTTATGAAAAACTAAAACATCTCCCAGGACAACTGAAATTGTGGTGTATGCGATGCCATCAACCCGAGCTCTTCCCTTTGCTTGCGGAAGTACCTGAAACCAAAACTGAAACTGTAAGCACGAAGCTTAGTGAGCTCCCCCAAACTACCACATACCATACAATACATATAAACATATACTGGGCCTTGCCCACTGCATCGGACCAAAGTCCGGAAACTGCAGCGGACCGAAGTCTGGAACTAACCAGGGCCTTGCCCTCTGCATCGAACCGAAGTCCGGAACTACTGAGGCCTTGCCTCCTGCATCGGACCGAAATCCGGAACTAACTGCATCAGACCGAAGTCCGGAACTAACTGCATCGGACAGAAGTCCGGAACTACTGAACATAGCATAGCATAAACATATCAATTAGCATGAACACATAAACTGCATACTGCATCGGGCTGTAACCCGGAACACATAACACATAAATCCTGTCTGAGCCACGAAGGCATCAAACATAATAAAATCTGCATCGGACCAAAGTCCGAAAACTACTACTAGCTATATGGGCCGACATTGTGGCCTTAGACCTGTTGCTACTGAAAGGAAACTCACCTCGTGATCTGGCTGCTGAGTGTATGGCTCTGGAAGTTATCTGCTGCTACTTCGGTATCTCCCCGGCTACAATTCCACAAATACACTCAATCAAAAAACTAATAACTGCATTGGGGTAAAATAACTATTTTACCCCTGGCTAAAGTCAACTCTCCTGGTCAAGGTCAACTCTTCTGGTCAAAAACAACTCTTCTGGTCAAAGTCAACTTACAGTTGACCTGACTCGCCGAGTTGGGCCGATACGGCGGACCAGTCACACAGTAGAACCGATATGCATGGCTATTCTATGTTCTGTTATGTTATGTATGCTATTTATGTTATGGTCCGGAAGGCAATATGTTATGGGACGGAAGGCAATATGTTTTGGACCGGAAGGTCGTAGCTTGGAAGGGTGTATATGTGGTTGGTATTTTGGGGGTATCTCACTAAGCTTTCGGGCTTACATTTGTGGTTTAAATGTTTTTCAGGTTCTTCCGGAGACCGTAGCAAGGCGAAGGCGTGATTGTACCGCTCCTCGTGTTTATGTTTATAGCATGATTCTGGGAATACTCTGATAATAAATGTATTGAAAACCTTTTTGTAATAACGTTATTAAAATGAATTGTTTTTGAAAAGTTTAAATTGTGTTGAAATTTTTTGTTGTTACACAGACTATTTCAACAACTTCATCAGACTAATATTCTCGATATCCTTTCCTTTACCTTTGTATTTGACCGAGGCTCCTGGAGTTGAAAGGTTTTGCAATTGTTGAGTAGCAGGAGTTACTATTACTTCAGTTATTTCATGATGACCAATTGCATACCGACCTTTCCATGCCACGAGAAAATTTATCTATTTCCAATGCGTGTAATCAATGCTTCCAATCATACCCGAAAAAACTTGTCTTTCTTGTATTAGTGGTAAAGAATTCCTCCACAATGAGTAGAGAGAAATTTGGCAATGATGAATTTTTGTGAGGGAAGATATGTGTACTAAACTCAACATGGCGAGAGTGATGGAGTCGGCGAGTTTCAGGATGAAAGCACCTATAAGCCGACTTCGCAGTTGAGTAACCTAAGAAAATGTAAGGGGGAGATCTAGGATAAAGTTTTTAGGTGGAATAGGGACAGAGCCATGGGTAGCAAAGGCATCCGAAGGGTTTAAGTTTCTTGTTGTTCGGGTGACGGCCATACATAAGATCAAATGGGCTTTGGGAGTTTAGAATTGGTGCGGTTGATGAGGTGAACAGCTGTTTGGAATGCATGATAGCAAAAACGTAGGGGAAGACCTGCAAAGTGTAAGAGAGTGAGTCCGGTTTCAACAATGTGGCGATGGTGGCGTTTAATTATGTCATTTTGTGCGGGTGTGTGCGATGGAGTGGTATAATGAGAGATGCCCATGGATTTAAATATAGGAATGGGAGTGTGATACTCCCAGTCATTATCAGTAAACATAAAGATAATGGATGTATTAAAATATATTTCAACCAAGGTTTTGAATTATGGAAATAGTTTGTCAACACCGGATTTATATTTGATTGGATAAAGCCAT